GTCATTTGAGTACTTCAGAAAAAACGCAATTTTGAGATAATTTTCACAAGAAACTGATTTTCCGAGAAACTTAACTGGAGCTCGTTCGAACCCTTGTATTCACAAACGCAATAATGCGTAAAAGTCACACTAATCCTTATACACACACACACTTACATGAACTACACTACCACACAAGCCGGGAGCCCACTCGGGAGCTTAGTGTGTCTCGACTGAGGGGGTGCCAATGTGGTGGGACATACCGGGCTCCAGAAAATTCCCGCAAACTGAAGTAGGTCGGTGCTGGATCTCGCCATCTAGCATGGAAAGGTCACAGCCATCTCTCCTGATAAAACACGCACTACACTTACGCTACTAATGACCTGAGCACAAGTCGCGGCCAGAAACACTAATCAATCAATCTAAAGTATAAAATGCTAATAAATAAGTAGATTTATTTAAAATGCAAGTTGAAGGGAAGATCAACATCGTTTCCAAGAGTTGACATTGATTTTCTTATAAATGTACAACGCTGTTCTACCGAAAGTAGAAAAACCAATCAATCTAAAGTATAAATGTTAATATATAAGTAGATTTAATTAAAATGCACGTTGAAGGGAAGATCAAAATTGTTTCCAAACGTTAACATTGATTTTCTTATAAATGTACAACGCTGTTCCACCGAAAGTAGAAACACCAATTAATCTAAAGTATGAATGCTAATAAATAAGAAGATTTAATTAAAATGCACGTTGAAGAGATCAAAATTGTTTCCAAAAGTTAACATTGATTTTCTTAGTATAAATGTACAACGCAGTTGTACCGAAAGTAGCGTATGCAACAGGTTTACATTGCTTCTCGATTGTGTGTGTGTGTTGGGCAGGGGCGAAGCCGCCGCCGGCGTGCCTGGACCTGCTGTCGGACCTGGCGCAGCTCTGCGCGCGCGTGGGGCAGCTGGCGCCCACGGCGGACGGCCTGCGCTGGTGCCTCAGCCTGGAGCCCGTGCTGCTGGGCGACACGCAGGTCACCTACCCGCTGGGCTGCTTCCGCATGGGCCCCCAGGGCATGGGCAGAAAAAAAAACCCGCCCGCCCCGCCCGCCCCCAGCCCGCCGCCGACGGACGCAGGTAACATCGCCAAAGGACGGGGGGGGGGAGGGAGCGACAGGCCACTGTCAGGGGTGTGGGTATTTTTTCACGTAAGTACAGATACCATCTCTTCTTGTTTTGCCTCTCAGTTGGCCGGGGGGTTTCATCCTTCAGGCCAACCCAACCGGATACCTCTTAATGGTGAACTGGAAATGAAAGCATATTATTGAAAAAAATCTTATGCAGAAACATGCCACAGATTTCTCAATCCCTGTACAGTATTCAAGTAAAACTCTGGAGTGTGCGTACGTGCAGATGTGTGTGATTCCGTACTCGTGCTAGACCACTTCGAGATCGAGAACGTATCTGGACGATTCCTATTTTAGGAATTCGATTAAACAATCAAATGCTACAGGAAGTAATTTACATCCCATTCAGCTACAATAACTCATTTATTTTAACTCATACCTTCACTTCAACCTTTCCTGCCTCGCAGGGAAACCTGAAAGACTTTTTTCTTCAACGCTGTTAGCGTTGGTGCATCTGAGGCCCATCATTTCGCCTTCGTGATTTACAAACTTGTTAACATACACCAAACAACGCAGCCAACCAAACGGCCAATAAACATGTGGGTGCCCCCAAGCAACACTCCTGCTTGGCCCCGGGCCCGGGAAGTTGCTTTCGTGTGTGGTGGCGTAAGTCATATTTGCGCGTACGCTCACTTCCTGGTCGCATTATCTGCATGAAACCAATGAAGCCTCACACTGCACCTACCGAAGTAGTGTTTCACGAGCATGTTTACCTTAAAGTAGATGCCACCATGACCTACGCTAGCACATTCTCTAGTCCACGAATTTCTCATAGCGGAGGGAGTTTCCACCTTCCTATTTGGTATATTCCTGCACGGGGCGGTAGGTCTCGTTCGTCTTTAGGAACAGCTTTAAACAAAGAAAGCTTGCCACTACGAAGTAGTGTCAAAACGACGCATGTACCTTAAGTAGATGCCACCAATGACTGCTCGCTAGCAACATCTCTAGTCCCACTCTCAACTGAGCGAGAGTTCCACCTCCTATTGTAATATTCCTGCACGGCGTAGGTCCTCGTCGTCTTTAGGAAAGCTTTAAACAAGAAAGCTTGCCCCTACTGAAGTAGTGTTTCAAACGACGAATGTACCTTAAAGTAGATGCCACCAATGACTGCTCCCGGCCTAGCAAAACAAAAAAAAATTTTGGCTTTCCCCCTAGTCCCCCCCCCCCCCCCACAAAAATTTCCCCCCTTTTCCAAGTGAAAAAAGGCCCCCCCGCGGAAGAAAAAAGGTTTTCCCCAAACCCCCCCCCTTCCCGGCCCTTTTATTTTAAATTAATTTTCCCCCCCTGCCCCCCCCCCAAACGGGCGGGGGTTTTAGGTTTCCCTTTTTTTCGTTCGTCCTTTAGGAAAGCTTTAAACAAGAAGCTTGCCACCTACTGAATAAGTGTTTCAAACGACGCATGTACCTTAAAAGTAGATGCCACCAATGACTCTACGCTAGCAACATTCTCTGTCCACATTCTCAATGAGCGAGAGTTCCACCTCCTATTGTATATTCCTGCACGGCGTAGGTCTCGTTCGTCTTTAGGAAAGCTTTAAACAAGAAAGCTTGTTGAATACGCTAAATGTGTCACGTTCTGCTCGCTTCTGAAGTGAATTGAAGTTTAGTTTCTCGATTCGCTCACGCATATGCTAACTTGTTGGTCAGTCAGTCAGTCAGTTGTCACGATCGTGTAATCCTTCTCTTGGTATCAGTTCAGGAGGGGAGTTTTGGTAGTTGATTTAGAAGTCTTGTCAGTTATCTGCTGTATAGTTTGTTCTAGTCATGGCATTTTCTTTGACCTGCAAGATTGAAAGGATGATTTTCAGGCTGTTGAGTAGATGCTTTTTGAATAACATGGACTTGGGATTCTTTTGATGTGTATTTGTGGATTTAATGAAGTCCTGTCAGAATGGATCATTTAGAAAATTTTGGTATTTTTTATTAATATCGGCAGTTTGTGCGGATTTTCTGAAATGGGGGGAGGAGGAGGAATGGAGCAAGCGTGATAACCATGCAAAACGCAGGAAAAAAATAAGATGATATTGAACTTCTGAATTTAATCGAAAAAAATCTTAAATCTAAACAACCTATTTTTACAATAAGGAGGTATTGATCTCGGCAGGGCGCGTGCGCTAGGTGCACAAAATTATTTCGCTCGACATGGATGCAAGAGAGTTTAACTTTTGACTAATAACCTTTCGCGGACCACAATAAATGGCACCGCGGGCCGCCAGTTGGACAACCCTGGTTAAGAATACATTGTGCATAAAGGAATTGTTGAGGGAATTGTTGAGGTGACGTGTCCAGATTTCGTTTAGGTGGGTATTCGTTGGTGTGTGGAATGGTATTTTGATGATTGTGCTTTCAAGGCGGGTTAATGGAAGGTAATTTTAAAGTTTTGTGGTAGACCAGGTGATGTGGGAATTAGCGGGAAGGGATATGAGAGAGGTTGTATAGATGAGGCTTTGTTTCTTTCGGTGAGAGAGGGATTGGTTTGCTAGGAGATGATATAGGGCACTCATAATACGATGGGCTTCTGGTGACTTCTTTTTGTTGGATGTTAGAGGATTAGGGGAGTTTTTGGTGGATTAGAATGCCAAGGTGGGCAAGTTTGTTTCGCCCAGTTAGCGACGTATAGATGGGCAAGGTTGAGAAAGGGAGATGTTAAGGTTGGGAATAAGTACAAAGAAGACAAAGCCATCGGCTTATGAGAATTCTTGAAATGAAAGGAATCTCATTAATATATAGAGAAAATAGGATAGGAGACACTACGGCGCCTTGAGGCACGCCGCTATGGATAGCATACACTAAAGAAGTTTTCCTGAGGTGTTGCACGAAGATAAATTTCAAAGAGGGTTAAGACTTGACGTGGATGGGCTTTAAGTTTGAAGAGCGGCGTATTAAGGGCAATAGTCGAAGGCATGAGAGATATCAGTTAAATTTTCGGTAATTTGTGATTTAGTCGTCGGCTTCCGCGGCTGGAGTCATGTGAATGATCTTGGCTGTCCGGGTGACGCCGCGTCGAGGGCTGTTGCCGACGTTTCGACCATCTTCTCGTGGTTCGACGCGGCGTCATCCGGACTGCCAAGATCATTCACAGTTTGTGATTTAGATTGTAGATGCTGCCTGGGGCGGTAGCCGAACTTCTTAACCAAGCTCCGTGAATTCAAGCAAATTAAGAAGCTCGTGACACCGCGGTTTCCTGGATGGGTGACCGTTTGGAAATCCCGGATACTAACGGTGCTGAGCTCCCGGCTGATAGGGTTAAAAGGCAATGACTTAATTCTTGACTTGACGCATGGCTGACAATGTTAAAGAAAAGTTACTCCTCGTTCAACGCCAAAAAGGCTTAAAACATTGTTACGCAAATAAGAAGGGTTCCGATATATAGAGCCATTCTGAAGATTTTGAGAGCCGCAGAGAGCCTTCACGAAAACCAAATTGGGTACATTTAATGATAGGACTTCAGGTGAGATTGATTCTAAGAACGATGCTTTTTAAAATTTTACCTATATTTCAGTAGCAATGGCTCTGGCCTCTAGCTTTTGGAGTGGCAATTCAGTACCTATATTTCAGTGGCAATGTATTTTCGTAGTTTCAATGAACAATTGAGATGCCGTAGTTTTAATGTCGAAACAAAGCACCAAGTCTTAACAGTAATATTGACTTGATAAACAGATTTCTCTGAATTCATAAAATGTCACTTATACCGTTCTGATTTTCATCCATTCATATTCGGAGGCCCTATCGTAGGCCCCTCATGTTCATAGGCCCTAGGCACTGTTCCTAACGGGTCTACTGGTTAATCCGGCCGTGAATATATGATAGGTTGTTGAAGAATTATTTACTCCTATGTGACTGGAAATGGACTGGCAGGTGCATCCTCCACCCAGACGCTCTAGCGCGCCGGTCCCCGGACACCCGTTGCAACGCATTCAGTGTGTCACGAGGAGAACTCGTCCGCCTTCCGGCTAACAGCTGCGACCGCACGCGAGGCAATTCGAGAGCGAAATCCCTCTGCAGGACATCTCCACTCTTTATTTGTGGCGGGCACGTAATCGCCCGCAGCCTCCCTGAGGGTGAGGGTGGCCGCACGGCCAACACATGTACGACTTTGCGTCTTGGGGGGGGGGTCACTCTACTCCCCCACATCTGGCTTTCTTTTGCGCCGCCCCTGGTCCCCCTGTGACCACCCGCGAGCATGTTAGGAAGCTTGGCTGCCAACTGATGACGTTACACATTTTTAGTTCGTATTTTTACAAGTATTTTGAACGGAAGGATTTCGTCTGGGCCTGGAGCTTTGTTTTCATGTACGGTTTTAATGCCCTGTCGGATTTTCAAGTCTGTGATGGTCCAGTGTGCTTGAAGTTTGAAGAGAAATTGTGAGGCTTTAAGGAACGTAAGACTGACGTGATTTGGGAGTGCACGGCTAGGAATTCGGTGAAGGTGTTAGCAATGGTTTGGGTGTTGAATGTGAGCCAGCGACGGCTCCTGGCCAGCTGAGAACAGCTTGTAATGGTGAAATACGGGTTATTTGCGGTCGTATTGTCCTTGTAGATGTTTGTGGGGTTGCTTGGATCGTTGATAAGTGTCGCATTTGTGGTTCTCGTACTGTCTGAATGGTCTTTGTCCGTTCTATCTATTTCAGTACATTTTGTCTTCGTCACTTCTCACTGTATAGTAGGGTCTATCATCAATCGGATTATTGAGAGAATGTCTCACGGTGTTATGTAGTGAAAGTAGCTGCTGATTTGATTTGATTTGGTGGTTGAAATGGGCGAGTAAATTTTCTATTTCTGTGATGGTAGGGATGATGGTTGGCGCGTGTATCTTCTTGGATACGGTGTGCGTAAAGTTTGCAGTCAGTTGTGGGAATTGATGTTCGCTTGGTTCGATATGTGTGTGGGTGCACAGGATAGGAAGGTGTGTGAGTGGTCAAAAAGGTCATGTTTGATGAGTGCTACGATCGCGAATACTCTTACGTAGTGTCTGGTCTTGTGCGATCTTAGGCTGTACCCACGTCATTAGTGACAAATGATTGAAGTGGTTGGCTGGTCCAGACTCCCCGGATTCATCCAGGTCAGGATGCAATTGACAAAGGAAGAGGCAAGGCGGGGATCGTTCCACTTCTAGATGTTGGGATGACCCCTGCTAGAAATGTATTAATTTCTCCTTGCCCGTGATACAATTAATCCATATTAGAGCTTCCTTAATGATTTCAACATTTTGAAATGTTCAAATCAAAGAAACTACATTAAAGAAATAAGAAAACGTAACTGAGGTGTTTCAATGGGTTCTGAGAATGTTCTTAGGGTTTATTTAGAATGAGTAGAAGTGAAGATGAATTATCCCCCATCCGAGTTTTGAACGCTTCTCTCCCCGTTGAAAATATTGTCATTTCAACTTGAACATCCCCTTGACGGCATTGTATCCTTCGTCATGAAAAGGTTCGAATTTTGACAACTCAAACATGACGGCAAAATGCGTTAAAAAGTCAATAAATAATTGATTTTAAATTTTCCAATTTAATATCTTCTTACTCACAGGCGTGCATAGCCTTAAACAATAAGGGAGGCCAACTACATTTCTGGCCCCATTACTATTCTACTTTTTTAAATTTATATGACATATTTACTGGTAGTTTAAATGAATAAAATACATTACAAAGGGAATTACATTGTAACATTAATGGTTTCTCTAAATGGGTTTATGTAGAACTATTTGTAGAGTTGCCAGACCTGAAGAACCTCTTCCCCAAATGTCATGTAACCCCAGAATACTACACAATCCCGTCTCTAAGACATAACATATTTCCTTATTTACAGCATTTGACAAATTAACTTAAATTATTGTGAAAAATCAGTTATTAATTATTCTGTTTATTACAATATTTAAAATGTTATTTATAAATGCATAAAATAATTATGGTCGCTAGTTTCTTCAATTATTTTTAAAGCAACAAAAATTAAATAAAATTTAAAAAATCCCGAATTGTGAGTTTACGAAAGAGGAAATAAGGGACTGAAAATATTTACTAAATCCCTTTTGGGTCCCTTTAAAAATGTTCAGGGGGGCCACAACTCCCCTGTCCACCTCTTAGCACACACCTGTGTTGTCAGTGAATTGTAGTGTGTTTCTTCTGCTCACAACATTAGAACAGTGAATAAAATATAATTTTGCAATATTCACAATCTACAAATGAAATAAGAATACAATAAAAGGCACAAATTAGTTCAAGTCTTGTATTCTTAATCCTTTATTTCATATTACTAGAGTATATGTCATATGACAATTGAAATAAATTATTGATGCAATCTTTCAGATGAAGGTATGTAAATGAAAAATTTAAAGCCAGGAAATCACCATACACACTTCTGCCCAATATGTTGCATACACTTTGTACTGTTTTTTTAACAAAAAATAAATTTAATCAAATTAAACAATAAACACCAAAGAAAGATAATATTTTGAAAATAAAAACTGACAAAAGCTAATTCACAAAAATAGTTATATTAAGTTATAAAATTTATGAACAGGCCTAAAAATTAGAAAATTGCAAAACATTCCAAAAAAACAAAAAATAATTCTCCATCTTACAAGAAATAGGGCTCTGTGTAACTTAAACAGGAGTATTGGACTTGAAAAATTTATTTATACATTTATTACATACTATTCACCAAAATAGAAATTAATTAGAGCATTTTTACTATATTTTTTATAACTAAAAAATAATATTTATAAGAAAGTTCGAAGCATTTATTGTGAGGCTCAAAGCCAAAAAAAGCAAAGTTCTAATTCTTGAGGAATATTTCATCATCCATCAAATACTTCTGGTATAAAAGTGGAAAAGACAGTAATGATAATAAATTAGGCCTATTGGGTAATTGTGAAATTGATGAGAATGATTGAAGTATTTATTTTGGGATAACACTCAGAATGGAAATCGGTGTGTAATTCTTGATGTCATTCATGTCACCAGACTTAAAGATGGGTAGTATGAATGAAAACTTCCATTTGCTTGAAAAAGTGCCCTCAGTCAAAGACTTTCCAAATAACAATCTGAGAATTTGTGCAAAAATGAATTAACAGTTCTTCAATAGTATAGAGGGAATGCCATCTGGACCTGCTGAGCTCTTTCTTTCCAACTTTTTAAATCTGTGCAATATGTCAGCTATACCAATTTCCAAATCACATAGCGCAAGAGGAGACTCAAATATTTCAACTGATCCATCATAAATAGTGACATTAGAATTCTTGTAGAAAGATGAAAAATATCCCGCAAACCCATCCACGATAGATTTGGTATCATTAAAAACTGATGAGTCACAGTGTGTAGTATTAGGAAGGCCCCTACAATCCTTATTTGAATTAACACATTTCAAAAAATGTTTTTCGTCAGTAGTGATATATCTCGGCAGATTCACAATATAATTCGCAAAATCTCTCCTCACTAAGCTTTAACAAATTGATCTGAGTTTACAAAATCTTGTATACAAAATAGGAGAGTTAAATCATTTATAACTAACATGTGTCAATTTTTGTCAATTATTGTGTTCTTCTGTTCACTACTATACCACGCAGGAAATGTATAGTTAACAATTTTTTTCTTAGGTACATAAATATCTATACAAGTATACAAATAGTAACAAAATAAAGTAACTAAAGTGTTAACGTCACCATCGTAGGATTCAAGACTAGAATATAGATTACAAAAATTGCACTATGAAACCATAATCAGCTGTAGAGTAATCATACCTCAATTCCTCCAAATTTCCAAAGTTACAGTTCGTTTGAAGTAACACTGAGTGGCGGATGATACACATCTGCTGATACAACAGACTCATCCGAACACTTGACAGAGAAATGCTCTAAATCAGTAAAAATGAGATCCAACATTCCTTCATAATTATTTACAATATCATTTTTTTGGTACAAATAATGTATATCGTTTTGAATATTTTCTTCATAATCTAATAGAATCAATCAATACATCAGTGATGAAAAATATTTTGTTTATTGTCACAATTTATATAATATAAAGTCTTTAATTTAATTTGTAAATATGATTTTGTTTTAGTGTAAGAGTGAATAAAAGGAAGTATTTCAGGAAATGTTGAAAAATTTTAAGCATCAGCATTACATAAAATTAAACTATGACCCCTCCTACATCTATGTAACACAGTGCCTCAACCCCCCCCCCCCTCTTCAGCATTACGTAATTTATGGACAACCCCTTATCTTTTAATAAGTGAATGATGATAATGATAATTTAGTGCAATTTGAAAATCTGTCTGCAAAAATAGGAAATTGATCTGTGGCAAAAAATTGGAAAATTTTAGATAAACAATTTGAGTACATGGGTGTTTCTTATGTTGAACTCAATGTTTTATCTACCTCAAGTTTCATCAAAACTTTTAAGAAATCTTTCTTGTAAATATTTTCTTCTAATTATTAAGCTCTTTGAGTCAATATTAATTTTTTCTCATTTGATTATTAACTCAATCTCTTGCAAGATTTGCTACTAAGAAACAATTTTTGAGAACTTTTTTTCTCTCACAACTACATATTTTTAAAATCTATTTCCAGTGTCCCTGAGTCAGAGCAGGAATCGATTACCACAGAAAACCCATCAGAACAGCTAAGTGAAGAAGAATTGATAGCAGTTGTAAATCAGTCAGCAGAAGAGGGCATTGCTTTCTTCAGCAACCTCCTTGGCCTTACGTTTGGGGGAGGGGAAGGAGGTGACAACTCTACAGAAACAGCAACAAATGAAGACAATGCTACACCACCACCTTCAGTTGAAACAACAGCTCCATCACCTGAGTAACACAGTGACAAATTACACTTGTTGATAAAATCAAGTGGTTCTCCTGAAAGAACAAACAGTTGGAAAGTGGATGTTTTATTATTTCAGTATTTATTTATTTATTATTTATTATGGTCAGCTTGTGAATTATCCATGATCAATTTCAAATTATATTTCATATTGTAATTTTAAGAATTGTCAGTGGTTTGTAAAGTAAATATTTTTTTAAAAAATGGTCTTACAGTTACTATACATTTAATAAAGGAACTGATGATTTTTGTACTTTGAAAGAAACAAATGATAATAGTTAATGTATATATTTTAAAATTCGAAAAATACATACCAAAGGCAATATGAATGTAACTGATTGTTCCTAAAAGAATATTTGTGTCTGAATTTACTTCAAACAGTAAATAACAAGAGTAAAACTGATGAGTAAACGTAGTGTAATAATGTAGTTCTCAGAAATAAATGTTTTTTTAATGTATGTACAAATGGAAAATAAAGCAATAAGTTCCATACACTATATTCATAGGAATGTTGCAATATTCTTTAAAAAGTCACAATATTTGAAGATATTAGTTTCTCAAAGATAATAACAATTGTAGTAAACACGATCACTTTCTCTTATTCTAGTGTACGTGGAGTACAGTATGGCTTTATAATGTTACATAAAGTGAGACTCGAGATTTTGACATGAAAACATATTTTGAGGATACCTAATACTGAAATGTCATATTTCTTCCCAAAATATTTCTTTTAATCCATCCATTTGTGCAAATTATTAGCATCTAAGATATTTCTCCTCAAGGCTCTGTGAATGTGAATTGGATCTTTCAATTTTTAGGTTCTTATTATCTGAACAAGGACTTTCCCCAAAAACATGTGAATTAAAAAAAAAAAAGTTCACTTTTACCTTCTTCTAAAACTACATATTGATACTAGAGAGTTTCACTTAATAGTGTCTACTTTTCTATTTTTTTACTTCTCAAACTTGGATTTTTAAATATCATGTACAATATTATTCAGAATATGAACAGTTTTCATAAAATTGTGAGTTAAATCACTTTAATTTGCCACAAACTTACACGAGGTATTCTCAAAAATGACTCCAAATGTTTTCTTTCCACTTTTTGTAAGGAGGAAGCACATTGCACTAAATTATTTGACACAAGTGCTATTTTCATGAAATTTTTCAATTATAAAAAATTAAAGTTATGTATTTTTTTATGAATGCATCTGGCCATCTGAACCATTAAATGATCTAGTGGCATAGTGGTTAGCATCCTGGATACAAAAACCAAACCACTTGAGAGCAAATCCCGATTTAAGCAAATATTCTCGTGGATTACGAACATTCACAGAGGCACATGTTAGGTGAATGATGAATCGCCACGGGAAGTAATCTGTTGCTGGCCATGAAAAGCAGCAACACATAGGGAATCTTCTTTAAAAGTAGCTTTACAAATATATTTTTCAAATAATACAAGAAAGCGTAGGCTCTTGTAGCGCCATTCGTTTTTATATACCTTTTTAAAGTTGAATTCAAAATTATTAAAGTTAAAGGTCTTCAGATAAAAATTACCAGATAGAATTGAAACAATGAGGAGCACTACTTACATCATATATGCAAAAAAACACTTTCAAGATTAATCAGATTTATTAACAAAAAAACTGTTATCAACTTAGTTCATGTAATTATTTCTTTGCACAATAACATACAGAAGTAACAATTTATTCAAATATCATTCAACTTCATGAATCTTCTGTCAAAATTTTACTTCACAATTAAGGTAGAGTTTATGAAATTTTATCACAGATATCAATATTTTTTCTTGTAGCAGGCACCAATAATTGATTCCTATATAAGTAGTATTTCATTTTTGAACAACTGTTCAATAAAACTGACTCTTCAAAATATATTTCACTAGCTGATTATTTGGCATTGTATGGGCATTTGTTTAAAAGATTTTATTTTGCAGCTCTTCACCCTACTAACCTCTTCTGCCTGCTCCCACACAATGTTGCACAACAAAAATGTAGAAACTATTTCTGTAGGCAAAATGGCTTAATTTTTGTTACAACAATACTGTTCCAATAAAAATCTACTATTTCTGGTTTTCTTAACTTTTCAGACACCTGATACATTAACAGAAATTACCTAATATTTTTAAGTTTACATATACAACAATTTTTATGAATGTCCTTTGAGCATTTTAAAACATCAGTAATTTTTATTAACTTTTTCCCAAAAACTTTAAATGTACTTTGGGACAACAGCTCTTTACAAGCTAAAGCCTACCAACAACATCCAAAAACTGTAAATATAATATGAAAATATTTAAAAGATCATTCAAAACATTTGTACTCAAGAATGTATTAAACCATGAACTTCAGCCTCATTGTAAATTCTAGTAGAAGTGCACCGAAGGTTAAAATTACTATATATTTTTAAATTTTTAAAATTCAGAAATTTTTAATGAAAACAGTACTACTGGTTTATGATTCATTATTCTAAAACACTTTATCCATTCGCGGAAAAAAAAAATTTTCTAAATTGGAACTAATTTGGAGAAAATTTTATTTAATTCTTTTTAAAAAGCTATTTCAGTTCAATTTTATAGCTATCAAAAACTATTGGTATTTTCAAAAACATTTTAAAAAGATCATTTAGAATTTAGATAATGCAGAATCATTTATATGAAGTACCAAATTTCTTGCCGAAAATTCTAGTCGTACAAAATGTGTGTGAGAGGTTCAAAATATAATTGAAGGTTTGCAAAATTCAAAATTCTTAGAAATGATGATATAATAAAACAACTTAATAATGGCATAAGTGAAGAAATAAAATACACAAAAATGGATGCAAAATTAAACTTTAACCTTCATGGATGCGAGATTAGACTTTGTCCTTCAATTTCACTCATTTAGACTACCTAATTCTGAGAAGTGTCTCAGAATGATAAATGAAATTTTGTGGATTACGCAAGAGCTGAAAATCAAATTGGGAAAAGTGTATTGATGCATTCCAAAATTTACACAAGGAGTAAATATCACAAACCATTCTTTTACTATTTTTAACAGAAATAGTTTGTGAAATCTCACTATTAATTTTTGAATACTGCTGAGTTTTATTACACCCTGACAAATTACCCAATGATCGTAAATTATTGGATTTAACAATGAGGTAATTTCCTGAAGTAAAAGGTCTGTTGAAATTGAATGAAATAGAATATCTCCCATTCATAAATGAAGCAACAACATTACAGAAAAAAATCTTTATCCAATATTGAATTTTAACATTACAAAGCCAGCTATTACAACTTGCTACAAATTGGTCTAAGACCCCTAATAACTATAATATAAAAACAGTTCACATGATTAAATATCATAATCAATCAGTTATCACAAACATTTCCATTCTTTAAATGACCCAAAGAATTAAATGCATATTAAAAACCTTCAAATAATTATCACAATTGAGATTAAAATTCTGTCTAATTTAATTTTTAAATCTAAGTACATAGATTATAAAATAAAATTTTTACATTGGTTTCATATTTCATCTAATTTATTTGAAATAACTCAAGACCACATTTCAACTAACATTAAATTTTAAATAGAAACTCATCAATAATACAAAAATCACAAAAGAAAGTAAAAATCACTTACAATTGTACTTGTACAGTCTGTAAATACCAATCAGAAAATTAAATTGATAATAAAAAATAATTTCATACAGTTCTTCGTTTACAGCTTAAAAATTTCTTTATAAAACAAAGATGCTTTTTTGAGTAAAAACATTTTTGGGACTACGATAGGAGCTTGATAATATCGGGTTTTTATTTTCCTGTGTTTGAGATGACATTAAAATGAAAATAGAAAAGGATCAAAGTCACAAAAGATCTTTTCCACATGACTTTTCTTGACTAGAAATTTATTTCCAATAAAGAATAAGAAGTTGAAGAAAGAGATTCAACGAGTAGCCACAGCAATTTATACACTATTAACACACTACCTACTTCAAAATTAAAAAAGAATAAAAATCACAGGAAGTCATTGAATAATAATGGTTTTCTTAGAAACCCAATATAGTAAAAATTTATAACAGAAAAAGAACTACAGTCAGATCTCTTGAAATCTCCCAAATTCCATTTAATCTCAAACTAAATTCCATTTAATCTCGCAAATAAATTTTAACCATTAATAAGAAAATACAAAAATAAATGCTATACAATTTCTCATAGATTTCCCTCACACTAGCATAACAGATGGTGGCTCATTTGCATATTGTTGTTCTCCTGCACTAGCTTTCAATGTAATAGGACCTATGTCAAAACATCCCAATTCATATTTTGCTATGAGAAAGTGTTTCATTCTTGCTTCCACTTCCGCGCAAGCATGAAGATGTGATCGAGTTGCATCTATGTCATAGAATCGTACACAAGCCTCTGCCCATTCCTTTACATAAGGCACTCCAAGACAGACAGGCGGTGGATTACGCACTGAGCAAAAAGATAAGAAAATGTTATGAATTATATCAATGTTGAACTTGAAAATGTGTATGGTAAAACCATGAATATTCAATTATATATACCTGATACTGTTTCATTAAAAACAGCGTAACCATTTACAGTAACAGTGACTGATATGCCAATATCCTGTGAGAGATATGTAACATTTGCACAAACTGAAAAAGACATGATAAATAAATTATAGACAGTGAGTTACTTCAGAATTATATGAAAAATCATGAATGGTAACATTATTTCCTAATCCACTGTAGTCAACATACCTGTGCTGTTTAGGTGAATGGTTGGTTCCTCCAAATGTTGGCAGCATCCACAATTATATTGGATACATTCACATGAATCTTGCAATCTAATTATTTTTAATTCAGTATTTATAGTTTCCTCAATATCTCCTACTTCATTCTCAACTGTTGATATTTCCCTTTGCAAAATACTCTTCACTTGAGACGTTTTATCTGCAAATTTAAGAAATAATCAGAATGAAATATAAGTATGCATAAAGCATCTATAACACAAATTATGCATGCAAAGAGATTAGCAACTTTATGAGCTTCTACAAAGCATGTATTACAAGAAATACATTTTTTAAATAAATAAAGGTAAAATTAAAAATTTCAAAACAATTGCAATAATAAGCCAATTTTAACACACACATACCATTTATAAAACTTATTTTACAAAGGATAATGTTTTTCTTCTTTTTAGAGGCATTGTAAATAAACAATTATCATTAAATGCCCCAATTTTATTCTAAGAATTTGTAATAAAAGTAAATAAGTAAAACAATTTGATGACAATATGAAAACAATCATAAATTTAATTTTTACTTTGTAATAGAAAATTGCAAGCAAATCTTTGAATACTTTCTTCTAACAAACATGTTAATCATCCACAAACTTTAATTCACAATATGTAAAAGGTTGCTAACTATTGCCTTGCAGGCTCCTTAACTATGAATATTAAGGCTCATCATAATGTAAACAAATAATACTCTTTGAATACTCATCCAAGCTCACAAAAGGATTTAGTACCATCTCTTTTTGTACTATCACAAAGCTCTTAATGCACTGCAGACACCTAAGTCCACCAAGTCAATAATAATTATTCTATCATAAGCAATTAATACCAAAACACCAAGCAAAATAATTATTATTGAATTACCCAAAACATGCTTATTAAGAACATGTAAAGTATAAACAAAATTTCAAAAGATATTTTTTGAAGCTTTTGGTTTAGGTTTTTGCTATTTTCATCATATCCCATTTAGCATGTAACAATGATCACTGATACCAATGTACAATGTGTCTAACTACAACCTTAAAATTCATATTACACTTTTGTTTGATGGAATTGCACCAATATTTTGTGCATATTTTAATTTTACTATTTAATTGTAGTTTAGTCCATTGTTTAATATTTTACTAGCAGATGTAATTGATCTTTTCAGTTTTTTTATATAGTTTTCTATAATTTCTGTCCATCATTGCTGTGATCATCTCAAAATTAATTCAAAAATCAAGTGTTTAAATCAATTAAATCATCCCTGTGTTTCATGTTACAATCATTTTTTTGCTATTTTCATTCATTTAATAATTTTCATTATGAAACACTCCAGATATGAAACTGTATTCGCAGTTAATCTAACATCCAAAAATGGAGGATTCAGTGTACTTACATAAAAATTTAATTTCTACTAAATGACAAGAACATCAAAACGCACATAAACAGAGAAATCTAAGGTGACAAAAAAAGATACTCAAAAACATGAACAAGCTATAAATGACCTGTGAAAATAGTAGTAGTACTACTACTACTGGTAACAATAATATAAGAGAAAAGTCACAGATGCAAGGGCCTTATTTGTGAAGAAAAGAACACAAAACTACAATAATTGCTAAAACGAAATCTCCTTGATTTTGTGACTAATTTAGTGAATAATTCACAAAATCTTTCTTTTTTATCTATTTACACAATAATCAATATTTACAAGATAAAACAAAGCATGAAATAATAAGAAATAACCTAACCTGGAATGTCTTTACTGAAAAAATGTGGTATGTCATTGGTAAAAAAATTTTGTAACTTTCCTAAAACATTCTTAATTTCCTTTTTCATCATCTGCCATTTGCTTTCCTTGCCTACACATTACAAAAAAAAAACATTCGAAATTTTGTCATTGAACAATGTCATAATTTTTATATAACAAAATTGACCATTTTGCTACAATCAAATTCCTGAAATTAAATTACATCACATATATTATATAAATTATATTGTAATTTATTAAACTGAATTGACTGTTGCATAAATAATCAAATTAAGATATAGAAAATTATTACTACCTAATGTTTCGTTTGTGTTGTTTCCCCGGGCACTGTTTCCATCATCACTTTCATATGCAGCATCTGAAAGATACACATTTTACATTGGTTGTTTATCCAATAATAGCAATAACAATGTCGGCATAAGCGATTTATCGTACTTGCAGCAGTGATGACGCATATCAGTATTGCCGAAAGCACCCACCGGGAATGGAAACAGAAACGCATACTTCTAGAAAAATATAAAATCCTGATGGCAGTGTATGTGATATGACTAATCCCGATATGCTCCCGAGTCCTGAAGTCCCGACACTACGACGAATACGATAAATCTGCAACGAATGACGAATAATAATCCTCACATGGGACACCGAGTTCTTAACCTCGTTTCCTGTGGTTTATCAGGCCGCTCCCAGCCAGAGTCGATATAAAACGATTATATGTAGAATCGATAATCGCTGAATTTTAATTAAGGGAAGAGAATTCCAGGTGGTAGTTCTCTTCTTAAATCTCCATAGATTTTGTCTTCAATACGTTGTCAAATATATCTACAAAACGCCAAAAAAAACACTACTTTCAAAGATTTACAATCAGACTAAAAATAAATACCATTGGGAAATCGATTAAAATGGCCAACGACTAAAATGATCTCATCACGTGCTGGTCTCGTGATGCTTGAGAGTGGGAATTACTTATTTCGGTTTTCAGTGTCGAAACTCCTGCTCACGTAATCGTTTGAATCATGTTACGTACATTTGCAAAACCCCACTTTCAGTATTACCAAAGAAAACGAATTAAATTTAGAAAACGTCAAGGTAATACAAGAGAAAAACAGAATCGTGAATAATGTAGAGAAAGAAAGCACATCCATATTCGAATTTTCTATTCTGGATTGTGCTAATACCGATTTTCAAATGAATGTGATTAACAACTTATGCTTATTAAAGTTTACTAACACCTTATTCGCATAAACATACAAAACTGTTGTCTTTTAATTTTTACATAAATCCACCTACACTTGATTAATAGAACAGTTGCAGAACTGAAAGTGAACAGAAATCAGACTGAGATTGTGGAGATTAAAATTCTTCAAAAATTAGGGGACAAAAATATGGAAGTGTTAAACCAAACTTGGGGAAGAATCAATTGTAGTTCCAGAAGATTTTAGATTAGATTTATTAAGTAAAAAAAAAATGTATGTGACGTATGGGGGAGAAGATTATCTGCGCACGTTTTCTTAAGTTCCAGAATCCCTTTCCGTCATTTTAACTATAAATAGTCGAAAAGAAGTAAACGTTTAACATAAATAAATAAAAGTAAATTTTAAGATGCTAATTGCAAGATAAGCAATATTTAAAAAATAGACATTTTCGTTTCCGAGTTATAGAAAACTTGCGTAGAAATCTAGTTATAGAAACCGACAGAATTTAAGAACAAATTGAGAATGATCTTATATTAGGATTAGAGTATAACCATAGTCTATGGTTTAACGCGGAACAGGTGATCTTTCATGTGTATTCTTGTGCAAATTACCAAAGAGCGTAAAATGTAGATGTAATAAATTCTAACTCTTCGCATCATCCAAACCTGCAACATTTTTTTGTGGCGATTACAATTTGAAATTGCAATATTACCTTTTCTTATCCCATGTGCAAGGCCACAGGGTGTTGAGAATTTTTGAACTGGAGTATAACAATATCATCTACTACAATCACTGGTAAGTCCAATGCCAGATACTGCAAGAACTTATTTGAACAAAGACATGCACAACATTTAGAAACTTTCACACATGAAACTACTTTTACTTTCTTGCTACTGTTTTCGCAGTATAGAGAATGTATTGTAATATTGCGGGAAAAAACGCTACTTACTGCAACGGCGAATTTCCGATATAATAACTCTTATTGCCGGGCCCCGGTAACAAAAAAGTGGATAAAACGTGTCCCTATAAGGTAGTAAATACTTCCTCTACATGTTGTGTAGTCAGAATCCATGCTTTGTGGATCCTTGATAGTGAACTAGAGGTGCTAAAACAGCACGTATTTTCATGAAAAATTACGGAAAAAGTACTAATATTTTCGAAAAATTGTACATGACCTTATTTCAAAATCTATCTGTAAGGAACTGATTTCATTGAGGGTACAGTCTCTATCTTCATAATTAATTGGATTGTAGGTAAACTTTTTTTTTATAAATAAATAGAGATATTATCAGGTATCAATATTTTAATTCAACTAATGATCATTTCGATCGCGTAGGATCATCTCAAGCTAAAAAAATACAAATATACAATGTTGAATAATTAACAGGTTGGTTATTGTATACAGATGCGTAGCAAATGATGTATACCTTGCAGCTTTGGGCCGAAACAAAGTTCTGCGAATTTCGAGCGTGTGTCTTGTTTAGAGCAGCAGCCGGTCGGCGATGCGGGAGGGGGCGGGAAGAGGGGTAGGGTGCGGGTGAAGGGTCGTAAATGTGGGGGTGCTGGTGGATTGCTTGAGAACGGTCGGGCGAGCGAAGGTTAGTGGGTGGGGAGGGCTGGGGGTGGGTTAGGGGTGTACCTTTGTGCTAATTTTTAGCAGAGGTGAAGAGAGTTAGGGGGATCTGTTGGTAAGGCTGTCATGTTCTGTTTTTGAGGGCGTGTGTATGTGT